TGATCAAATAATGATTATTTACACATTAAACTGTATTCAAAGTGAACATGATCGAAATAAATTTATTAATATAAACTTAGTATATGCTTCTAAAGTGTTTAGGAAGTTTTGCTTCAAACGGTAAATTGATCTAATTGACTAATTTATCTAATACACATTGAATAAAACTTGTATAATGAATTGTATTAATATATTATACTTAAACTTTAAGCTATTTTTAGCAAGTACGTCAGCTAAAATATTTGAACTAGTTTATATTTCTCAAGTGATACTCATTCGTATGACCTTCAACAAAGAATCATCTGTAAGATGTCTAGATACTAAAGATTTCTTCAATTAATCATCTTATAGACACAAATTTAGACAGTACTACTTTCTTTATAAACTATAGAAAAGAGATCAATTTTCACCTTAGTATTATAATAACTTATATCATATCTAATGACTAGTCATATTTACTAATTATTACAATATAAGATTCATTAGTATTGATGATTAAGTGTTCTTATTGTATTAAAGTATATAGAAATATCCTGAGTCTATTCTTTCTATATTACATCAGTATTAATTAATCTGATATACAAAAAAAAACACAGCCAAAACAGTGTTTTGTTTTAAATACCATAGAAATAAACCATGATTGGTTTTCTTTTTAAAATAAAAATATCTGTAGAAAATAGGTTAAATCATTGATCTTCAACATTTAACAAGGTATTTTGTTTTCTCTCAAGTATATATGAGAAAATTTATTGACATAAATAATGTGATTGTAATCTTGTAGAGGTTAATTTCTTCTATAACTGACTCCAATAAATAGTATCCCACTAACTGAGTATTTAATGCAGGCTCAATCTCTTAGTAGAATTATGGATTTGCTCGAGATTATTCAAATAGCCTGAACATAAGCTCATAAACTCTTAAAGACATTAACCAAAACACTTGTGAAAGAATAAAAACATAACGCCTTTTCTACGAATCCAGAAAAATACGTACAGAGTTTATTCAATAAAAAACTAACTCGAATTGAAACTGAGGCACTCTCCCTTGGATTTAAATTCATATTCCGAAAAAATGTAACAGAATAGACACTGAAACTCAGTTTGAGTATTTATATCAACAATTGTCAGAACCTAAACCCATTAACGATGAAAAACATAGTTGGTTGAAATTGAAATTAGTTGATATTACAAACCAGTACGTAACGACACCAACCCCACAATCTAAGGTGTTAACAAAAGATCACCAACTAGCATTAAGAAAATTTGTGAAAGATGAAACGATATTGCTACTTCGTCCAGATAAGGGTTCCGATGTAGTCGCTCTTAACAGAGATGAATACATTAGCAAAATAATATCTACTTTAAATGATCCCACTAGATTTATCATCGATAATACCCAGAAAAACTTAACAGAGACGACCAAGAAGCGTCTTTTTAAAAAAATTGAGAGAACTCCTGAAGAAAAATCTAATAGATAATCATACATACAATGAACGTAAACCTAAAGAATCCCAATTACTATACTTATACGGCCTACCCAAAACTCACAAGCCCAACATCCCGATAAGACCAATATTATCCATGACTAATTCGCCCTCCCATAAACTCGCCCGCTGGCTGACAAAGTGCTTAGAACCAATCCGAAAGAAACTAGCACCCTATAGTCTAAAAGACAGTTTTGAATTTGCACAAAAACTCGACAACCTAAATGCTTCTGACAAATTTATGGTTTCATTTCACGTTTCATCGCTCTTCACAAACATCCCCTTGGAAGAAACGGTAGAGATCATATGTGAATATCCGGAACTTCTACCTCTACCAATCCATGATTTTAAACAGATCCTTTTTTGTGTACCAAAAACATACAATTTCAATTCAATAATGTCTTCTACCGGCAAATTGATGGGGTTGCCATGGGTAGCCCTTTGGGCCCAAGTCTTGCCGATATATTTATGGGAAACCTGGAACTAAAAAAGCTTAAGCACGTAATCGATAGTACTACACTCTACTGTAAATATATCGATGACACATTCCTCGTCTGTAACAATCACGAACACGCAATTAGACCACTCGATCTGTTTAATAAACCACACAAAGATATAGAATTTACTATGGAACAGGAAGTTGAAGGCAAATTCCATTTCCTTAATATTGGGATCAAACGAACATATGATGGCACATCACACGGACACATTCATCACAAAAATGCTTGGAGTGGACTATATCTCAATTACTATAATTTCTGTCCAATGAGTTACAAAAAGGGCATTGTACGAACCCCTTTTGACCTCACTCATAAAATTTGTTCAAAGAAATGCCTTGATGACGAGATTACTCTCACCACCAATGTTCTACGTGAAAACGCCCGTTGAAATTCATCCACAAATATGCAAAAACCAATCCTCGGGCAAAGTACGGTAGAGCAGAAAAGAAAACTTGCTTCTTATATTTACGTTTCAAAGGAGATGAAATTGCTAGATTAATTAATCGCAGACTAAATTCCGCTTTGAAAGTGGCCTACCCAACAGCAAAACTAACGACAGTATGGAAAACGAACTGCTCACTTAAACCAACTAAATTCGACAAGTCCTCCTTTCACAGTAGTTCCAACTGCATTTACCAGTTCACATGTACATGCCAGACCACGTACATTGGAAGAACTGAGAGAAGAGTGCATGTTCGCATTTCTGAGCATGTTCCAAAGAACTTGAAGCTGCGAGGTACCAAGGCTCTTAACAGTGCAATAGCTCGGCATTTACTTGACACCGGACATACCATCGACATTTCGCACGCTTTCAAAATTATCAACAGACAAAGAAGTACGACTACTCTCCGTTTCACTGAAGCGATTGCTATAAAAAAAACTTAAACCGGATTTATGTATTCAAAAGAGACATTAATAAACTTATTATTACACTGGTAATCCATTTTTTTTTGTTATTTGGGTTATTTTATTCATTTATTTATTTTAAAATATTTATTTTGTGTTATATTCCTCCCCCATTACCTAATTCTTAAACCAACTTTTTATTCACACATTTCCGCCAACTGAACCTCCTATATTATGTTAACTATTCAAATTCTCACAGATTGAAATCATGAGTCAGTTGAAGCTAGACCACCATTGAAAACCTGGAAGCACTGGACGGCCGTTTCGTCCTAGTATGGGACTCCTCAGCAGTGCGCATCCACGATCCCGCACCACGCGGGGCTCGAACCCAGGACCTACTGGCTTCGCGCGCGAGCACTTAACCATTAGACCACTGAGCCGGCATCCAACGGTGTTAATGTCTAACTTTAACCAATCCACGAAGTTGCGCCACCATATACCATTGTATTCAGTGAGCTGATATCTCACAACAGACCTGGTTGTACTCCACTGGTAACGGCTTCCCACTAGAACTCCAGGAGTATCTCTTGGAGTACAACCAGGTCTGTTGTGAGATATCAGCTCACTGAATACAATGGTATATGGTGGCGCAACTTCGTGGATTGGTTAAAGTTAGACATTAACACCGTTGGATGCCGGCTCAGTGGTCTAATGGTTAAGTGCTCGCGCGCGAAGCCAGTAGGTCCTGGGTTCGAGCCCCGCGTGGTGCGGGATCGTGGGTGCGCACTGCTGGGGAGTCCCATACTAGGACGAAACGGCCGTCCAGTGCTTCCAGGTTTTCAATGGTGGTCTAGCTTCAACTGACTCATGATTTCAATCTGTGAAAATTTCTAAAAATCTCCACAAACCCCTTCTGATAATATTCAAATTCTATTTAGTTATTACGTAACTCTGTTTATTAGATAATAGAAACAATTACTATGTGATTTTACAAATTTCAGTCATTTAAATCACCATCCGAATATCCTTAAAAATGATTTTTACAATGAATTTACAATTCTTATTGAAATTCATCTATTGAAAGCTACCATTATAATATATTTTTCCGTTTGTTGTTAATTGTAGAATGCGGTACAGAATGATTAATAATATTAACGTTCGTAGTTTTATAGCAAGTAGATTTTATTTTCGAAACAGCGGAACATATTGACTGTTGTTTTGTTTTTTTTTGATAGGAAAAGCTTCCAACTCATATCCATAATCTTGATGAAAATAAATTATTTGAACAGTTTAATATACGTATGTTAAAAACTTACGCTTGTTACCCCTCGTAGAGGAAAATAGACCGGCCGCCAGCACTCTCCATCCAATCGCGTCTTGCACAATCTTTTCCACTTCTTTACATTTGCTATTCATTCTTTTCATGTCTGCTTCCCATTCCTGATGTTGTATGTTCTTTGACCTTCCTCTTTCTCATTTCCCTTCCCCATTCCAACTTACTGCTTACCTCATGATGCAGTTTGGTGATTTCCGTAATGTATGTCCAATCCACTTTCAACGTGTTTTTCTCATTTCTTCAGATGGAAGCTGGTTTGCTCTCTCCCACAGTAGGCTGTTGCTGATTACATCCGGCCAACAACGGACACTGAGTATGTTGCGTAGACAATTGTTTGGGCATAAATGTATGGTTTCATGATGGTTGGTGTCGTTCTACAAGTTTCCGCCAGTAGCTTTGTTAGGATAACTGCCGTTCCGGAGCCCCGGTGAGGGAGAACGGTTTGGTATAAGTTCAGTAACCCCATCATTTAGAAAACCATCTTGCTAAAGAAGAGTATATTAATAATGAACTTTTAACTAGTCAGTGTTACTTTTATAACCATATTTGCATTCTCGATATTATTACTAATGACCATCATTTAACTGATGTTGTAATATTCTTATAACACAAATATGTTGGTGTAGAGTTGCGATAAAAAGCTATTAACATTATTAGCGTCTTACCAAATAAGTGGTCGGGAATGCCTACTTTTCTAAAACGAATTACAAAATATCACTCGTTTTTACCTTCCCGCAAAAATGCGCTGTGTAGACTTATCTCAGTTTTTATACAACACCGTTGAAATATGGAGATAAACAATATGAAAGATGCCAAACAATAAAAAGAAATTAGTTAGAAATTTAACAATATTGCTTTATTTTATTTTTAAAACAATTGATTGCCTACTACTAAATTTTCAGTAGTATGTATATAATTTGTGTTTTATTTCGGTGCATATTTGTGTATTAATATGATTCAACTGCATGCACAATTTGTTTTTACAGCCTTAGGCAAAGTTTCCGTGACCAGTTGATCTTTATGATCTTTATAAAGTATTGTAAATGGTATTGTTTCATTGGCAGCACAACATGGCATTGAATTATAGATAGCTTCTCGTTCCACAGAACCCAGTCCAGAAAAATAACGATTCATTAGAATGCTGTGAGCATTATCAGTCGGCATGTAAAGTCCTGTAAACCAAATGAAAAAAATAGATGTCCGTTTCAAATATCTTATCATTAAATGATAGTCCATAATGCTACGTTTAATATCGATATGATCATGTAAAGTTAAGTGGAATAATTTACATGATAACCCGTTATGATTCGTAAGGATCTGTATTTTGCTGTTGCTGACGTTAATTAATGAGAAACACATCAATTTTGCTGAATACAACTAATGAAATAGAACTTATAACCGTGGATCAAATCGAACCATCCACTCTTTTGTGCATGTTATCTGCAATGGTTGATAAAATTCAACCAGAAAACAAAAACCCCTACTGCTACTATAAATAAGTATCGTAACTAGTGAAAACATTGAAGTTTATTGTAACTCAATAGGTTGGTAGATCACGCTTTCGCCTTTGAAAAGTTTACATAGTGGGTTTGAGTGCGATTTTGAATATTCAGTTACTTGTAGATGTTGAGTTCACAGCAGGACAAAATGAAAGTCCTGAATTTCGTTTCTAGCAGCTGTTCGAAAACGTTAGGAATAGATAATAACCTATACGAATATTCGTCAAGATTAGAACGAATAGTTTGACAGAAATTGGGCGCCGAGTATAGAGAAGTCATTATATGTGAAAATTATATATGAACTAATCTCAGTGATTGAAATTTAAATAATTCCAACGTTTCTTCCAGCTAACTTGTCACATAGAATAGATAATAACCATTTTAGAAAAATGTAGTTACCATGTTTCAACAATTTAATGTATACATAACTTGTAGACCATCGAAACGATATTTTTAAATCAAGTCTGAAAGCCAATGTTTTGAACTGCAAATAGGCAAAACCTTAATAGAATTATTATATGGAGTACGTAGTAATCATCTTATTTCAGTTACATTCAGCTATCCTATTGAACATAAAGAGATGTATATATCAGTGATTTCACATAAAACCACTACTAAATATATGAAACAATTTCGAACATTTCAATCAACAGTCAAAACAATTAACACCCAACAAGCATTGAGTACTAGATACTCAGTCTACAAAATACCCTTACAACTAAAAATAGTATAAATCCATAAATTTTTAATTACCAAGGTCAAGGTAACAATGAATGACAACCATTGATTTTATTATATGCTAACTTTTTTTTTTAATATATTCAATGTCAAGTCTATTTTTCGTGGATTAAAACTGTTAACTGTCTTTCGAACTGGTCATCTTTTTATTAGAAAGTAATTGACAAATAGAAGATAAAATAATATTTATCTGAGTCTTCTATCTTCTACAAACTTAATCGTGTATTTTTAGCACAGAATATACAAAAATTATTTATTTATTTGAACACATAAATATTGGTACAAAGGGGTTTCGAAAACATATGCGACACATAAATCACTCGATTTGTGTGAGGGCTGGTATACTATCCGGGTGCCCAGACCGAAGCAAGTGGTTTTCTTAGGAGGCCACAACCTGAGCCTTCAACTTAAAGGTCTGATCCGTAAGGCAGTGGAGCGACGTCAGGAAATGCAGTCCCATGGTAGACGATGACCAATGATTGGTTCGTACGCCATTTGTTCCATCAGGATCCTGGTGTCTATGTGCGCCACTGGTTTGGATTCAGGGTTTTACAATTCCCCTAGGTGAACCCTCCGTGTCTGCCAACCCGGTTAGAGCGCTGGACATTCGATTTTTGTCCTCTGAATTTCGTGAACAACAGTAATGCCACGAGAAGGCAGTGAGTAGGACTTTCCTGGCAGCGGTTGTATGCACATGGCCATGTGAGAACATCTCGAGAGGGAGAGCGGATTCTCTTCACCCTCGGCTGTACTAGGGCATTTAAGGGCAAAATTTAGCAATATACTTTTGATAGTTTTTGTATAAATTGCTTGTTTCAATAACTAAACTAAACGGAAAAAACTGACACCATTTTAATTCACTGAGACTGGTGACCAAATTCTAATTTGTACAAATCACTATCCGTTGTAAAAAGAAATTATTAAAATCTTTTTTGGGACTTTTGAGCGACGCTAAAGTGATCTTGAGAGTCTCTACCTACTTACTATTGCTAAATGAGTGTTATAAAACAGTTTGAAGAATAAAGATTGCGATCCACAGTTGGCGGTTAGGGTTAAGAATTAGATTTACGGTTTTTCACCACGAATTGACATTGCCTAATATCCCAAGCTACTATTTAGTCAAATGGCTGGATGAATTCCGTGCCAAATTTCAAACATCTGTTATTCTAAATCTGACTGGTTCGTCCATTCTTTATAGTCCTCGCCCAATTTATTTTTTATTGTTCGCATTATAATTTGTATTCTTCAATGTGTCTTTCACTTGTGTAATAACTAAAAGACATTGAAAGTAGTCTGATGACATAAATAGGTGTATACAAGAATGTAATATCATTTCAACATTTTAAACAGATTATTTGTATATAGATGAAAAATTGCATATCATTTCATTCAATATTTTACTATACCTCACTATTTTACTAATAAACAAGTACAGTCATAATTCTAAAATAGGAAAATAGTAAAGTACCAATCAGTTATATTATCTTACATGGTCATTTCTTTTTTTAAAAATCAATTTTTATTGATAATCAATAATTGGGAAATAATACTGAAAGACTTATATCGATAAATAGATTAAAACCAATTGAATCAGTTTCTTTATTTATAAAACTGAGAATATAATTACAAAATAATGAATATTTAATGATTTATTGATTAGAAGTCAGATACAATATAAGATCATTCTATATTGATAACTGGAAATTATAATGTGGATCAAATGATTTGATAGAGAGTAATCATGATAACTAATATTGGTAAATCAAGTTGTTCAATATAAGCAAAAATGGATAATAGCTAGCAATAGAATACAGGACTCGTGTTTCGTCCTATTTGGGACTCATCAACTTGACGTACCTACATCTCATAGTTGGTGATCACTATAGGAATTGAACCCAGTACTGTTCACCTCAAACACCATCACGATATCCATTTAACTACTGAGTCCTGATAACCATTTGATTGTGCAATGGGATGAAGTTTTAAATTCACTTAGTATTATTTAATTGAATCCTCCTATTGATATGCCAATAAGAAACTGATCAATTGCAGTTCTAAATATTAATGGGAAGATTCAAGTAGACAATACGAAATGAATTCAAATTGTCTAATGTTTAAATAAATTTTTTTTTAATAATCAGATAAAATTTTAAGTTTCAATGTTATCTGAGACTATAGTTTCGTTTTACTCTCGGCAGATTGAGAAACGTTTAATATGTTTGTAATATATAGAAATACCTTTTATATTCATCGATTCTCGTCATTTAATAAATATTAAAGATTCCTATTGTGAAAATTAGAACAACACATATAAACGAACAATTGTTTTCAATTAGATCGTCATCAAGCTTTACTCTAATATACATGAATGTTTATACGAAAATGTTAAACCAATCAAGGTAATTTGGGTCAATAATCACAATGAAATAGAATAAGTCACCACACATGATAAGCAAAAATATAAGTTGATCGTAGGAACACAGGTGTACTGATAGTAGTAAGAATAATAAAATACGATTTAAAAAAGTCTTATCAATAGTTAAACGTTGGAAATAGAAGGTCAAATGTGGGTAAATAGACTTAAAATAGTCATTACAAAACATTAGAATCATTACGTAATAATAGATGTGTAAATAATTAGATAGTGAAGAATACAAGCGGAAAGAGGCGGAAAATTGCAACCTATTAATGGATGTGAAAATAAGGTTAATGATAACAAAAATAGAATAAAATAAATAAATAATAATAATTAAAAAAAAGATTGTTAGTTAAGTTGTAACTGGCCATGAAGGAATAGGGGGGTTACGAATTTCTTTCGTACGCATAAATTGGGGTTATATGTACGAATTCCTATGGCTTCAGTTATAAGTAGGAGGCGGGAATGAACTCCGTTGGGAAATGATGGGGGTATACGATAGATCACTCGGAATGATTTCGGTTTATTTACAGCATGACCGCTATCAATAAAATGTGCCAAGATAGAACTGCGAATTGTTTTTTTTGGCCCTTTATAAATCAAGCTGGTAGATTTTCACTCATTCGTTGGTTAAGTTGCCTGGTAGTAAGCCCGATATAGCTATCTTCACAGGAGCGGCTGAATTTGTAAATGCATATTGAGGAGGCTAACTCAGATAACTTATCCTTCGTTTGCGTAGACATCTCCGGTCGACAAGAGAGAGTCAACGCAAGATTAGCTGCGTAGAATCTTCTGCTGATTACTTTCGTTTAAAATTTTCGTATAAATATTCATGTATATTAGAGTAAAGCCTGATGACGATCTAATTAAAACAATTATTCGCTTATATATGTTGTTCTAATTTAATAAATAAACAACATATTCGTATCAGAAGGGGTTTTGTGAAGATTGTAGTAATTTCAACAGTTGAGATCATGAGTCAATTGAAGGTAGACCACCATGGAAAACCTGGAATCACTGAACGTCTGTTTCGTTCTGTTATGGGACTCCTGAGCAGTGTGCATCCATGACCCCGCCTTGCGCGATTCGAACACAGGACCTATAACAGAAAGAAACGATCATCCACTGCTCCCAGGTTTTCCATGATAGTCTAGATTCAATCGACTCATGATCTCAATTGTTGAAACAACATGTTCATTAAGTATAAAGTTAATTTATTATTATCTTATATAATAATAATGAAAATAATAAATAACTTACCAATACATCTACCATGACACATATTTATTGGTAAATGATGTGGAAATATAATAAATCTTAATTTATCATTTTGATCCATTTGCATTTTATTTAATGTATAACGAAATAAACAACATTTTGTTTCATATTTATTTTTATCTAAAAAACTTGGACATGATTGTGTTATATGTTGTATTGATGATTTAGTAGATTCAATTAAAAATGATCGTTGTATTAAACGTTTTTTTAATAAATATTGATTTTCTAATTGTATAATGCTTAATGTTTTCATTTCTAATATAATTTGTGTATTATCACTTAATATATTATCAATATTATTATTATTATTATTATTAGATTTTATTATATTTCTTTTAATCAATATAGATTCGTATTGATTATTGAATTTCTTAATTGGATCATTATGTTCATTTATATCATCATCATTATTATTATTCTCATTTGTAAAATTAAGATCATAATCATGATCATTTATAAAATTAAGATTATTATTATTATTATTTTCATTCAAATTTTGTTCTATTTCATATTGATTATTCAATGGTATATTATTGATTGTATCATTTTTATTGATTATCATTGATTTCCATAGAAATTCATTTGATAAATCAATATAATTCAAATCAATATCATCTATATTATGATTGATATCATTTCTATTAATTAATGTCATTATTATTGAATCAATTAAATCATATTTAGAATATTGTAATTGTTTAATCATTAAACTAATATCCCATATCACTTGACGATGAGTTGATTTAATATTTAAATATTCTATATTTGTTTTTATTAATTTATTATTTAAATGAATATAAAAATGTTCATAGATTTGATGGTTTGAATTCATAAGATAAACATATAATATTAATTGATTTGGATTAATCCATGAATGTATATATGTTGATAAGGTGGCTAAATGAATTTTATGTTTTAAATTCATTAATGATGGTTGAATAATAAAACAAGATTTTAATTGTTTAATAATATTGATTTCACATGGAACTAAATAAGAAAATATGAGAAAAGGAAAAGAAAAAAAAAGAACATTTATTATATTTATTAAAGTGTAAGTTTTGTTTTATTTTTTAATTTCAATGGTTAAGATCATGGTCTGGTGGTTAAGTGCTCGTTCGCAAAACCAGTAGGTCCTGGGTTCGAATCTCGCAGGGGGCGAGGTCGTAGATGCGCATTGCTAAGGAGTCCCAAAACAAGACGAAACGGCCGTCCAGTGTTTTGAGGTTTTCCATGGTGGTCTAGCTTCAACTGACTCATGATCTTAATCATTGAAATTACGATAATATCCACAAAACCCATCTGATATTTTTTTAATGTCGATTTCTTTTTAATGATTGACAAGAAATGATGAAAATATATGATCTTAAAACTATTGTCACAGACAATATATGGAGTATGTTCAAGTTTTTAGATAATGTACAATAGTGTCTAACTTTGGATAGTAAGATGTACTCATGACTCTACCAGGGCTAGGATAGAAAACCTTTTGAAATCGCAACGAGTGTGATGTATTTAGAACTACAACTAAGACATTAGTGTTATTAACCGTCCTATGATTTTCTATAGCTATTTAATAGAAGTTAATTAGTGATATGTATTATTTTTAGGTTGCCATTTGATAACTATATTATTTTATTACAAAATATAAGTAATAAGAGAGGCAACCATCCTTGTTTTTAACACGATAGATTTAATCAACCACAGTACAATATCATGAACTGACAATTATGACAGATATTTCAATACTTCTGAGTGATAGTCTAAGAAAATGAAGAGTATTACTCTAATATCATATATACCCGAAGGCATATGCTTTTATTTCACATTAGAATAACACCACTGTTTATATATGCATCTTAACATCAGAAATATTCTTCTCCTGACGTTGTAAATATAAATATTCTTAACGAGACATTTTCTAATACAGGATGAATGAGCGGTTAAATTAGTTCACTTCCTCTTTCAACAAATTAATTCTTTAAAACGTCATCGGTCATTAAAATGTTTGTTCTTAGAATAAGAATTTTCGTCAAACTATATATGTAGGTAACGATTTTTCTTAAACTGATTATATATATATCCTTACTGACATATTCTAAATAGAATTATTTGAAAAAAAGAAGTTATAACTGATAATATCAGTGATAATGTCAAATGATGGAGTTTTGTTATCTGACCTGGATGGTTCTATCTTAAGTTTGTGCTGATGATGTCGTTCAGAAGAACGATGAAAGCTCCACGATCAAAACATCCAGCTCAGAGAACAAAACTCAATCAAAATCACTCAATTGAGCTACAAATCGTCTCCACCATTTTAAGATAATGTCTAATATCCTTTGTGAAATCCTTTTTTAAACAAACATTCTCATAAACACATTATCTTTTTCGATTTAATTAATTAATTATCCAACGTCCTATTGTACATTGGTATAACATTGATTTCAATTGTTTCATTTTGTACACATTTTTTCACTGCAATTTTACATTTCCATTAATTTCAGATCAATTCTTATATGTAATTGTTTTTTTTTCATTGATGAGTTTCATATCTATATACTCAATTGTATATAAATAATTTAAGATAATGGTAGTCTTTATATAGTAAATAATCTATGTTTGTATTTAATTTCATCGGGAGAGTACTGTAATGGCATATATATATATTTATGTTAAATTTATAATCTTTTACCTAGATCACATGAAGTCTGTTAGTTCTAAAAATTATCTAATTAAAAACATGCAAAATTCAATGATTCTTGTAAAATATGATACGAAACTTAATAATGTGAAAAAAAGGAATCTTAAGTATTTAAAACAATTAGTCCCTTTTGATAAATTTCGATAATGTAATTAGAAGACGAAGATTAACAGAACTATGTGATATATTAGCGCAATACATTTCGAACAATCTGGTCACACATATACTTGTTTATAGCGTTTATATATGAAAAATAAAAGGTCAACTAGACAGGAAACGGGGTAAGAGGAGATAAGGATAATGATAAGAGTAATAATAATAATAATGTGAACACAAAGCGATCTCAACATTAGGGTGCGTGAACATGTACCCAAATGGCTTCAGAAACAAATACAATCAAGTGACCCAATAAGAGCAGAGGATAAACATCCATCATCCTCTATTGCTAAGCATATAATTGAAACAGGTCACAAGATTGATCTAAATTCAGCTTTTGTAGTGCTGTATAAAAGTGTAAAAGGGCGTATACTAAGGTTTATTGAAGCCTTAGCCATACGAAAATTCAAACCCCCTTTATGTGTTCAAAAACAGTTTGTTCTTACCTTAAACCTACCCTGGTAATATTGAGTTATTATCCAGAGTGATTAGGTTTCGCTTTGTGTTCACATTATTATTATTATTATTATTACTCTTATCATTATCCTTATCTCCTCTTACCCCGTTTCCAGTCTAGTTGACCTTTTATTTTTATATATAAATGCTTTTAACAAGTATATGTGTGACCAGATTGTTCGAAATGTATTGCGCTAATATATCACATAGTTCTGTTAATCTTCGTCTTCTAATATCATTATCGAAATCTTAAGTATAATAAAAAAATATGAACAACAACTAAATTTTATTGGCTTGAATTTGATTGCAGTTCAGTCAAATGATAATCACTATTATTATCTAGATTTTATGCAAAAAATAAGCTTTATCATACGTGTTTCAGTATTCTTTTGTATAATAGAATGATGTATAATGGATAGAAACTGGTCTCATTCAATTAGAGCTTAAATTCTGTCTAGAAATATTCCATAAAATGAAACATCATTACTTTTAATAGTTTAACTTTAAATTTAGGACAATTATTAAGTTAATTAACTAGTTATATAGTCACATATAGTAGATAAAGTGATTTTAATAGTCAACAGGTAACTTTGAATGTAAACGTTTTCTTGATCATTAGTTATCAATCAAATATACAACTGATCTTGTGCGAATTGATACTCCTCATAAAAATTCAGATCTCTATCATCCAGCTTCATAGTTTGAGACATTATCACAAAGGTATTTACCTTCAACTCAATGTATTCAATCAAATCTTTGTGCTCATAAAATGTTTGAATTTTCAAATATTATATTTTTATTATGTACAGAATTTTGTAAGCAAACGGTTGAAAATTAATAGAACTTTGAATTCCAATAGAACAGTTCAAAATTTAATTATAATTTAAATTAATCTATTAACCCAAAAAAATCATTTTTCCCATTGAAACATCATTTGTAAAAACTGACAAAAAAAAAGGAAATAAAAGTTGTAAAATTAAATTTTATTGAATATTCTGATAAAAATGGTGGCGTTGGTTGACATGCTTAAGCAAAAGTCTGGAAAACAACTCAGAGTAGATTGCCTAAAAAGTCTGTTCAGACGCTACTTTGAATTCCGCACAGTGTATTCAACAATGGTGTGTACAAAGTGATATGATGAGTTTTGTTCAATATTACTTCCGTTTTAAATCAGTGTAAGGATTACTCAATGTAGTATTTGTTTTCTTTTCTCGTATGATATTTTCTTCTGTATAATATGCGATATTCTTGTAGTCCATTGACATGAACTATGCTCAGACTGTGATTTGTTGTAACTCTAAGTATTTTTCATATATGTGATTTCATCCTAATTATTAATCAAAATGGGTATACAATCAATATATAAATGAGTGTATTTTCGACTAGAGTCGTCGTCATAGTGTTTTGGATTAATAAATCACCACTTATACCAGTCATTGTGTTCTTACTTTCACGTCGTGGGAATTGCAGAAGTCCCTCGTTCCGATTATAAGTGATAAGCATTTCTGACATAACAATCAGCAACGATCAGATACAAAAAGTAGCATTAAAAAAGCCAAGACAATAAGCATTCAAACGACAAGTTATAACACAAAGATTAATCAAACACTTAAAATGCAATGTCGTACTTATCATACCCATGGTTGTATTAATCCTTACATATATTCAATATACCATATAGAAATCATGATTTCTACAAAAGATGATATTATCTCTAGAGTTTCTGTATCTATACTATAATTAGTAAAGGAAAAAGAAAACTTACCTATACGAAGAAATACTATTGATTTTTGTAAATCATGATAAACATCTTTTGATATTTTACCATATTCATAATCATGTAAAAGTTGTTCATTATTCATAAAATTAATCCAATTTTCAACAATATTTGGTATTGTTTTACGTATATGAATTAATTCATATATTGTCATATTTTTTGGTATCCCTTTTAAAGTTGATAATACTTTCAGTAATTCAGAATCACGTAATAATATTTCATTAAAATTTAATGTCATTACTTGTTTATTTAAATGGAATAAATAAAGTAAGATTATTATGAAAGATAAGAGTTTATAATAATTATGTAATACTAATTGTAATTTAAACCGCATTGTATTTATTATTATTATTATTAATAATAATAGTAATAATAACAATAATAATAATAGTAGTAGTATAAATACGAATGTTAATTTATATTGTCTTCGTTTTTTTCTCTTTTTTTTCTTTTTTCGTTTTCTTTTTCTTCTTTTTCTTATTTATATTTGTAAATGTTCAATTGTAAGATAATTAAAATTCCATAAGATAGAATTTATTAAATTGATTGAAAAAGAATACATTTAAATATTTTGAGGATACTATGGTTTAGTGACTAGTGTATTGAATATAATGAATATATAAATATATGTAAGCATAAATTATATATGCCTTAAGTTAGGAATGGTATTTATCAGGTTAATACATTGAGAGTTTTAACCAACTAATTATTCATTCATGTACTTATATATATATATAGATATTTAATTGGCTTATGTAACATTTACTCATTTCTTTTTTGTTACTCAGACAGTTATGTAACATTATTCTCATTTTATCAATTATAATATTCATTTCTTTTATTATATCCGTTACAGGCAACAAACAAACAAGTCGTTTGTTTTTGTATTGTTTCTTTTTTTTAAGTGGGAGAGAGAGAGAGTGATAGAGAGGGATAGTCATAACAAAAATGATAAAAGAGAAAAAACAAAAATATATTAGTATGAATAATAATAATAATAGTAGTAGTAGTAGTAGTAGTGATAACGGTTCTACTTAGCCAACCAAATTTCAATTATCCAGAAATATACTTACTATACAACAATATTTGTACTATAAAATAATAAATAATAAATATCAACTAAATGATAAAGGACGAATAAATAAACGAGTAAATGAGAAAATAATAATAATAATAATAGGATAATTTGTTGTTATTCTATTCCAAATTATTTTTCTCTCATCCCTAACAGAACGACGAACATATTTTGTATGTTGTTTCAACTTTTACTTGATAATGCAACTTATTATAACAAATATATATATGTCCTTACGTGAATGTTTATGTATTTTGTCACTATGAATGAAATTGAGCAATAATAAGATGAAGTACATTAAATTTATCACCTCGTATTATTAATATAGTTATATTATATATCTTTCATTTAACTTTACTCTCTTCTTACAACCAAACACTTATATACATACATATATACAGTCACACTCTTAAATATATACATACATATACAATAGAACTTTAAAAGTTAGTAACGAAAACAGAGAGTGAAAAAAAAGACGACTATCATTAATGGTTTAAAAAGTTGTTTTTTTCCTCTTTTTTTTCAAAAAAAAACATTAAATTTAGAAATAAGCGCACAATATGTATTTTATTATTATTAACATATGTTGTTATTATTTCATTTTTATTTAAATGTACTGATATTATGTTGCCTACTATTTTGTAATAGTTTATGATGAATGCTACATTGAATGTGGATTACAAGTCTTGTAATATCAGCCTACTATTTATTTTCTAGAGGAAATCATCTGGGATTAATGTTTATGAATAAATATTATATATATATCACTATCGTATTCGATACTTTGAGTAACCCACTAAACCTTTCATCATACACAATTTAGTTCAAAGCCAATGAATAGTTGCAAAAAAAAAGTATGATAATTTCACAATATTTAATCAAAACACTCATGAAATATAATTAAATAACATAGATAATTACAAAGTAGTGATTATTTGTGTAGATCAATGATCACTTGAATAAATTAAGATGAAAATTAATTACTATGCAATAGTCTTTTTTTTTTACATTTTATATTACCTATACAACATTATACATGAACTGTAATCGATTCATTTTTAAGTTGTAATAAAGTTGACAATTATTATAAATTCTCAGTATAGTGGTTGTGAAGATTGTTAAGTTTTGATTGAGATCATGAACCGATTGATGTTAGACCACCATTGAATAACTGGAACCAGTGGATTCATTTTCTTATTTTTTGTGCCTACATTAAAATGAATAATAATAATAATCATAATTATTATTACTATTATTATTATTAGGTAATAATTAATGTTATCGACTATAACATTAAAATATTATACTACTTTAAAAGAACTACTGATATAATACTAAACAATAGATTTAAAATGTATATTTTTTTTACCTTATTCTATCAAATAGTAATTGCATTATTTATGAATAGTTTATATACAAATTAGAAAATTGTATACCTTGAATAATTTAATACATAAATGATTTAATTATATCATCTTTTACTGATGAACATAAAATAGTAACAGTATATATGTAAGGATATACATAATTATTTAATTATATAAAGAAAATTATCCCTGATTATTGTTCTTAAAATATTGATTGAATCATATAAACAATGATAATTATATTACCAATTTAAGTTACATAGGAGGAAATACTTGTTAGAAGTAGATTTTACGAAACCAGTATGTATAATATAGTTCTTTTTGTTCACTTAAGATTTTGAAAGTCGTCATTATAAGCTTATTGTGTTTAATATCTACCTAGTATATAAATACGTTGTTTTTATTTCAAGCAAACGTTTCAAGATATATGAACTTGGAAAGTACTTCTAAAAGGCCTTCGGCCTAAACAAACAATAATTTTTACAAAGATTCCCTGTAGACACACAATGAATAACAGACATTAGAAAATATCAACAAAGCCTCCATGAAACATTTTCCAATCTCAATAAAACAACCATTCGGATGAGCAAAGATGGGTAGTGCCTAGCAGTAGAATACAGGACGCACGTTTCGTCCTATTCGGGACTCATTAACTGAATGTACCTGCATTTCAGAGTTGATGTTCACAAGCAAGTGGCTATAAGGACTCAGTAGCTAAGTCGATAACACGATGGGGTTTTAAGCGAACAGTAATGGATTGGAGTCCCAGTGTGAACATCAACTATGAAATGTAGATATGTCCAGTTAACAAGTCCCAAATAGGACGAAACACGGGTCCTGTATTCTACTGCTAGAAACTATCCATCTTTGTTTATAATGTTTGTGACTTATGGCGATATCGAGGCAATACTCACAGTATGCACATGTGCTTATAAGAGACTGATCAATTCCAGTCCTAAACATCAATGAGAAGATTCATGTAAACAATACCATGTGAATCATTCGGATAGATTATATTAGTTACTTGGAGATTATTGATCAGCGAATGAAAAGCTGCTTAAATTTACAAAAATATACGCAACATTTCATTATACATCAAATTATAACATTGATTAGCATACGTATATTCCACTCATCCCTCTGAATATTAATAGAAAATTACTGAATAGTTAGGAAGAAACACATGCTTGTTCCAAAACGACAACAGGTAGAATAATTTCATATTATGAATGTGACTACTTATGAGTAACACCAATAATTCTCATAATAATTCTCAAAGTACTACTACACTTCTGAATGTTTGATGACCCTAAATAACTTGGTTGATTCATAGAAGTCGAAAATATTTTGATTCACAGTTATCTACTAACTTGATTTGATTTCTTTTTTTACACTGTTAGTTTTGTTTTATAGCTAAATATTTATTTATCCATATAATATTGATAGATAACAAATTTAATTATTTTTTGATATATGTTAAATTCAGAGTTTATTTGTAAAGTAATTTCTTCATGTTTAGTAGAAATTTCTTTCGATAACTGAAATTTTCCCGATGGAGGACATTTACAAGTGAGCGGTTATTGGACTATTTCATACGGAATAATATGATTTCTTAAAATTTTCAACTGTGGTTAATCCTGTATAGTATGCTACTTATGTTTGTAGATATCAGTAGCATGTCACACAAATCAGGAGTGAAATACCTGCCAGCAGAAGATTGAAAAGATTAAATTGGAGAGAACCGAAAAGAAAACAGAGAGGAATTGTAATTATAATAGAACTGAAAGGACCCTGAAGCATGTAGAGGATGACTGAAGGAAGATGTGCAAATGAAGTATTTAATGTGTAGTTTTCATATTTTATGAAAGTACTCTGTAATTTTCACTTGAACAGCAAATTGATTGCGCTCATTTGAGTTTTTTACGACAACATCGCACTTATTAATTCGGTTATGTTGTTTTCATATGAACTGATGTCATGGAATCGATGAGATTAAGTTTAAACTATTGACGGTTGCTATGTTCTTATTTTTCTGTTAAATTGAGATTTCATGTGAAAATAACATTCTTCGTTTGTATATTTATCTATATATGATTTAATGTATTTATATACGTATAATATTTAATAAACCTTATTTTTTAGCAAGAATTCAGTTCTTCCACTCTTTCAGAACTAGTAGAACTTCAACTCGAACTGACAAGTAGCATTCTACACTATATCGAACAAATAATTTTACATAACCTAACTGAATATACTATCAAGAAAATACTTTATTTATAATTATTGGAGTGAATCAACCGTAATATTCTGATGCCGCTTGTGTCACAACAGTCATGCTCAAGAATGGGACTTGAAAAAAAATTTAAAGATTGTCCAGCTAATAAACACTGGTATATTATCTAACCTTTTATTTCATACCAGTGTTCTATTGGTTAAACTTATCAAGTTCATTGGGCAAAAGTACATAGTCGACTGTGAGCGACTCTTCAAATGTTCCTAACTAATGTTTTGCTCTTTCAGCCAACAACAGATTATGGTCAGGATATATATATATATATATATATATATATATATATATATTAACATTTAGGATTTGGATATAGAGTTCGTGATTTAAGACTAGGATATGGAGTTTGGTACTTAAGATTAAAGTTTAGATTTAGGTTGTATATAGACTGACTGTAAAATCTAGTCCAAATAGTAAGCCTTAACACTAAAACCTATATCTTCGTCCTAACTCTAATCGTAAATAATAATTCCACAATGAGGCATCTTTAACTTTTAAAAAAATAG